TCATGGCAGATTCAGCGAATACCTTGGGAGATCAGTTATGGTATCCTCGAGGTAATCACACGTTTCAACCCATCGCCAGCAGAATCTGAGATTTCGGCTCTGCTGCAATGTTTGCGTACGCGAAGTCGATGTTCGCCTTGGCTACCAGAGACATTGGTCCCAGCCACGTTGCTCGGGCAACAGCTTCAAGACGAAAAGAAATGCCCACCACAAGAAACTCCTGGATAAAATTGAATACCTCCAGCACCATAGTCGGAGCTTTGAAAACTAGAACAACAAAGTAAAAGCGCATGAAATCCAAGTGTCGCCTGTCAAGATTAAGCAGGCTGAAGAATGAATGACCACATATTGCCATGCTGAAATGCAGAAAGCCTTCCCAACTTCGTATGAACACATCAGCCCTCTAAGGTTGCTGTCATAGTCGCAATGCAAAGCTGCCACAAACTCTCTTTACAACTTATTCAGACCACCTATGCTTCTTGGTGGGGCGGCCAGTTGAGGCCTTGAAGCTTTCTCATGAACAAACTGTGAAAAGGTCTACCGCTCCTCTGCATCCGTAAGAAAGGAACTTTAAAAACTGTATTCAGCTGAAGGACAAGAAGACCACGACAAGATTGCGAGCTCTAGAGATCAAGCCAAGCAGCACTGAAAGAAAGGCAATAACAGCTGAAATGGCAAGCCAACAATCCCAAGCAACTGCACCTCAAACGCTGAGCGAAGTGCGTGCAGCTCTTCCAGAACCTCAAGCCTGTCCGTGAGGTCAACCTGCTCGGGTCAGAAGTCCGAGCTTGAGTCCAGAATTTTTCTGAAAGCCTCAGACGACCCGTCACAGACATCTGCCGCCTTGGTGTATGGAAAAGCTCTCCTCTACCTTCAAATCACATTCAGACCACCTGCTACTCCAGCAGAAAGGAGGATGCAAGTTGCAGCACTTGTCAATGATGCTCAATCATGGCTCGGTTTTTCACGAGTCTCAAAGGCACACAACCAACCCTGACACACACACACACACACACACACACAATTAGCCTTCACACAGCATGATGTGTGCGGAAACGGGCCCCGCCTGCTTGCATAAGAGGCCTGCCGCCAGACCCGCAACCTCGGGAAGCTCATACTCGTCATCGGTATCAGGATGACTACCACACATCTTGCGATTGTAGCGCTGCTGTTCTTAAGCAGTGTTCTGGCGGACAAAGCTGGGTATCAGCCTGTGGGTGCTGTTTGTCGGCGCTTAAGGTGTGAATTGAGGACTTGAACTCCAAATGACAGCGGCCTGGGGGCCTGCGGGAAACCAAATGAAGGGCCCTGATGCATGAGTCTCTTCTGGTCTCGAGTATCCGCACTGAACAAACCGTCAGCAACAGCTTTTTTGCAGATTCCAGCCATCAGTCCGCGGCACTGCAGGTGCCGCTACCCAGCTCCAGTACCTGACACTTGCACTTTCAAAAGTATACAGTTCTCTGTGCCTTGGCAGAACAACCTGGTCAGACTTGTGGGCAGTGTAGCTGAAGACAATGATGAGCTATCGCAGATGGGCTGAGATGCAGTACGGAAACAAGCCCCTCCATCAGGATCATGCGCGCCGCAAGGCAGTGCTACTTGACTTCAAATCAGCAGCAGTAAAGATCCTGCCTTCTTCTCCTGGAGCGAAAGCCTCGTGCATGAGCCGGATATCTTGATGAATTCTATGTGGACCCACCGCAATCCCACGCAAAAACACTGGAGCATGCGAATCATGCATATATGATTCGCACTTTTCAAGTCTCCCCAGTCTGACCCACTATGACCTAACCCACCAATAACATCATGAAGCGTGTCGGCTGAGCCTGAGCTGAGAAGTTTGAGACTTCATTTGGATTTCGGATCTCACTGGAGAAAGGGCCACTCACTTCGTCAGGATTCCATCTCGAGCTTCAGAAAGCCCCATGTCTGTTTTTGTCCCGGCTCGCATTGTTACCTCTTGCACGACATGGAATACCAAAGCTGCCACCTTAAGATACTTTAAGTACATGACGGTAAAGACAACCGTGAGTGCGACTATCAAAGGAACGGAGCGTAGGGATGAACCATCAAAAGCACCACGGTTCCAAAACCAAATCGCTGAGCCACAGGCTCGTCTCTGCGGGTATCCAAATACTTGGCGAGCATGAAACTGCCTGGCCTTGGCGCTCCAACTCTAGGGTGGTTGCAACTGGTGTAAAACAAGCGTAAAACGAAGATCTAGAAGCATGAGGCTGTTTATGATGGGTGAATGTGTGCATTAATACAAGGAAAGGTGGTTATCTCGGTCTATGACCCTCGGTCTTCGGCAGCAAAAAGGGCTTCTGCAGCCCGTCTCAAGAATCTGGCAATGAATGAGCAACCTGCTGGGATCGGCTTGGTATTACTTGTTCAAACCTGGCCGGGGTTCTGGCCAGGGCATGTAGCCCAAGCCTCCATTTTCAGGCCATGTCACCTCATGGGCTGCCGGGAGCTTTGGAGCTGTTAACTAGACCTACTTTCAGACTAGAGGCAGGGCCAGCAAAGGTCAAACTATCTTCCTGTGCACGATGCTAAGGACTGGAGACCCCATTTCAACGCAGCCCCTAGCCGTTCATGACGCCTGGTAGATTCTGCCGTCTGAGAGCACTCGACGGTCGATGGTTTTGGCTCGAGAGCCGCCCTGGCGGGAAGAAGAGCAGTCACCCCTAGACCTCAAAGGACCTCAGAAGACACGTTCATGGCCGACGTACCCAGCTGCGATTGCTTGACATACGGTGGGGAGGTTCAGTAAGATGGTAGTAACCGAGGAACATTGAGGATGGTTTCTTTATGCAGATGCTAGCTGTGAGGACTTGGACCCCTCCTACTAGACAGCAGAACCACTGCTGTGCCGCAAAAGCACAGAGGGAACAAGGTGCAGCAACAGCAATAGAGAAGCTGAAGCTGTACATAATCACCATTGAGGCTGAACCTACACAACACGGGCTGCATGTGGAAGAAAGCCGATGGAACACATGGAACATGCGAAGATCCGATTGCAGAAGCCATTGAGTCCCGGAGCCCGTCTGAAATCGCCCTGTAAGCCCCTCATTCAAATGGAAAGCCATGACCCCTGAGAACTTTGATAAAGGCACAGCAGCAACATTCACAACTTAAAGCAACATTTGATGATCAACATAGCCACCCTCATATCTGGTCCGTAGCGGGTATGGCAGCCATGCATACAAGCGGCAAACACAATGACGAAGCCATAAGTGATGAAATCAAGCCACATTACAGCGCCATATCGCACTTAACAAGGGCTCCAGCAAAAACACTGCTGACAGCAGGTGCAAGGGTACAAGAAGCACATGGAATGCCTACGAACACATCCCAAATGTCTACCAGCGAGCTTGGTAGAAGGGCATAAACTACTGTACCCTGCCCCAAACAGACAGGAAACCCAGACAGAACGCTTGAAGAAGGAACGCCTTGGAGGGTTCAGTCTTTCCGGCTTCTGAGGCTACAGGGCTTCTGAAGCATTCTGTCGAACATGCCAAGCACTCACCAAGAAATTACCACATGCGCAGTTCTGTTGAAACCCTTCTAGCCCTGAGCTTTCATAGGAGGAACAAAGACCATTCGAAATTTCAGGGTCATTTCCAGCCTGATAGAGTTCGGTCTGACACAACGCGCAACTTCAGGAATCAAAGCCAACCCAAACCAGCCTGTCCCATCTTCTGTCACTGCATGCAAAGGCCACTTGGCATCTGCCAATTAGCAGATTCGAATTCGGGGCTAGCACGTATGTCAGAAATGGAGTGGAGCTTCGTCAGCAAAACAGGTCTTTCTAATCAAGCACATCAAGGCGGATGATGACTACAGCCTGCCGCATGTTCCGCTACAAACTGGTTCCATTGACATTTGCTTGTTTAGCCGTTCCAGCCAAGGTTATGCAATGTGAGATGTCAAGAGCTGCTTGCAAAACCCATTACGTGCACGTGCATTGTACATGACTGTCATGCTTTGTGACTTGACCTAGCGCTACTGCTGCCTTGAACCAGGCAGGGAAGCCATGTCCTTACACATGCTGCCAGCCACCTGGCCAACCAGAAACCACAGCCTTCTAGCAGAGCACAACCCTCAGACATGTCACTTGCATGGTAAAAATCCTGACAGTATGCTTTAGTGTTTTTGTAGAACCAAGCCAACTGATGTGAAGAAGTAACGCTCTGAGCACTGTGTAGCTTTTGGATGCCAAACAGGCACGTGCCCCAACAGTCTTTCTTTGGAGGTTCAAACTGGATTGTAACTTATTAGAACCCCACTATATGATTGGGGTAACGGTAACCTGTGTGAAGCCAGCTCCGGAAACTATAAATAGGACTAGAACCCAATTAATTAAGTGGTTGCTAAATCCCATTCATCTGGAGTGGACCATCTGCTCCATGCCATACTCCATACCATAGACCCTTATTGCAAAATGTTCGCGACACTCATCAGCGACAACAACCCCTAACGCCAAAACCCTACACCCAAGCCAAAACGGAACTCCTCAAGCCTTTTACCTCAGTCCTCCTGGATGATCGTAGGTGCGGTAGGTATAGGGTTTTATGTACTGCTGGTAACATTCAAATTAGACTATATGTAAGACTATTCTTACTACTATTTTATGTGGATGGAACATTTTCCAACTCAGTAGTCGCGGTATCTTCATGCGACCCCCCCTGTGGACGGAGGAAATCTTGGACTTGGGACAGAATCAAATGCAAAAGAGAATGGAAGGCGAATTGGAAACGGCTGTTTTACTCTGATGTACCTGAATATGGTTATGTTGGCATGTGGCTGGAGGTTTGTAGGATTTAGTAACTACATATTACGGCCTATAATAATCCTACATATACCCCCCCTTACATAGGTTACCCAAGTATAAGGATGATCAGAACTGTTAGGAGCAGCTACTAAGCCCCGCGAATCTCTTAGTAGGGACTGGGTAAGGGCACTGCAAGAAGCATTGTCTGATCACTGCAGAATGCCTTCGACGAGCTTGACGAAGGCGGTCGGCGTGGAGGTCCATAGCCTTGTCTCTGTTACTACGGATTCTTGTGCTTGTCAGCATCAAAAAAAAACAAGACTTGCGTCCTGGATTACGATTTCATATAGCAGCCCCAAAGACAGCCTGAAACGGATCCATGCTCCTGCTGGCGGATTAGCGCATCCCAGGCGCGTCTCCAGGCAAATTGGGCACTCGGCGGTGCGGTCCTGCCACGAAAGGCCAGTGCCTCTGGAGCTGATATGGCTCATGTCAATGTGCATCTCCCAACAGGAGAGATGCCGAAGCCTGCGAGCTTCCCAGGCTGACGATTGCCTGGGCATTCCCCCAACCTGAATTTATGTAGGTCCAAGCACTCTACATTTGCCAAGCGGAGCCATCACCCCCTAATTGTGTCCTCCAACAGCGCTGTTGGCTGGATCCAAGGATCAATATCCTGGCAGGTCAAGGTCTGCAGGACATGGTCAAAATGAGCAGTAGCAGCGGGAGCAAAACTGCTCTATACCAATAAATACTCAGTGCCAGGGCAGCAACAAAAACCTACTAGCCGTCAGCGTTTTTGCAAGAATTTTGTGATTAAGCTGGTGTTTTTGCGGCTTTGTTCCAGGCCCAACAAGGCCTTCGAAACTGATCGGCTCTGGCCTGTCCCGCCTGCCCTCTCCAACCCCTCTCCGTTTGGCGTGGCCGCTTCTTCCTCCCGCTTTTGAAGCAACTTTGAATCTTCTACACTACCCACTGCTTGGGCCAGCAACGCCCACTTCTTGGATTTGTCATTGTATGCCTGGAGGATTCAAATCGATGCTCAGGTCTGGGGAGTCTGGGGGTGAGCTGCTGCACTTGCAGACTTCAAGTTGTTTGCAGCTCTTTTTCGCAAGGCTCTGAGCAGCCCGCAAACTACGAGCACGCTCCTCATGCAGCCTGCTATGCTGTGCTGTCAAGCTGAAGCTGGAGATTGCCAAAAACAGGCGAATGTCATATCAAAACATCCACTGATGTACATGCAACGCTGACGAAACTTTCTGCCACACCTTAAGGCCACATCACATCTGTATAGGCCTGGCCCTCGTCCGTGCAAACTACGCTACCTACCAGTTGCAGGCAACCCTTCACCACATCAGCTTTGCACAAAGATTCATTGTAAGAGTCCCCAAGCATCTTGCGCGCCAGCAGGAAGCAGCCCTCAACTGCTCAACGCAGCGGCTCGAGCCCCTCACAGTACACAGAAGCAACCCTTGAAACTGCCACACCTACCGCTCCCTGAACCACTCATAGTTTGGGAAAAACACCATCTAATACGTGATAATACGCTTCAGGTCCTGCCCCATCCTTCGCATGAGAGGCTCTAGCATGTCGTTGAAGCCCGGCTGGTTTTTGTCCGCCTGTGTGGGAATTCCCAGGACTGCAAGAAGAATGCCTAGGTAGACAAGAGATTCTAGATACCAGTGCAATAAACATTGCACCGGAAGTTCAGGCACTTTGCGGGAACTTGAATCAAGCCAAGATGACATCTGCAGATGCTGGCAGTTTGTGAGAATGTGGTTTCCTGCCTGTTCTTGCGCGAAGTTCAGCAGCGGTTGGCCGTGGAGCGTGGAGGTGGGACTTGCGCCCACGTGGAGCAAGATCCTGCTCCACACATGGATAATTTTCAATATCAGCATCCAATTTAACAGATTGGGTCCATGAATTCAGAGGTCCAGCACGAATTTTGGAGCCTCCAAAGAATCGGCCATTGTAACATTGTTGATGGGCTTGGAGCTTCAAAAGATATTTTCCCACTGTAATACTACTCACCTACTACTTCCTGGTGACTTTGCTGTATCAGGCACCCTTAGGGTTTTTGCAGTTTGGAAGCGAAGCACAAGCGGAGAAACTGTGCTAGAGCTCGCGCACTCCATCTGCTCAATCTGTGGGTGTCTCACAATGCAAGCTTATCAGCATTTCAAACTCACAGGATCCGGCGTGCTTTGGCTTACTTTGGGTTGTTGAGTGGGGACCTCTTTTGGGCAAAAGGCGTATTCAATGCAGTGTCTGGAGTCTTGAGGCACAGAATCGTTTCGGCAGCTTGGCTGCTGGCCTCGCAACGCTGAGCCAATCCGGCTCTTCCACCTTGCTGTGGCATCTATGGGGGTCTGCAAGTCTTACCGTGGATGCCTAGGCAATGCCACGCCTCAGCTGTGCATCGGGTGTTGCAGCGCAGTTCGGTTGGCCCTCTGGATTCAGGATAACGTTCCAGGTCAGACCAGCTTTCTCATCTACCCCAAGAAACCGGAATGGCCACATCTGCGATGAGAGTCCCCATACCATTGTGGTCGAGATTTGCAAAGCGAACCTCAATGGGCTGAGGATCGGGCAGCTCGCTCCAGTATCAGCGCTAGTGCGGAATCCTCGGAGGCATACGGAGGTACCTTAGTCCCAAGGCGACAGATATATTGGCCCCTAACAGATCAGAAAACGCATGACGTTCGTCCGCAAAAGGTTTTGAGTAAGTAGCATCATGCGGTTTGAACAGGTTTAAGATTTTCTGAGGCTTGAACTCAAAGAGGCAAACGGTATCTGAAAAACGCCTGCAACATGATTGTACACCTTGTTGTGTGACCGCAGCTCGAACAAAAACCATGCTAATGATGTTGAAAAGCATGATGCTGGTCTTCCCGGTCGAAAAGAAATCAGGCTGAAAGCTGCAACGTATCTTAATTCATTCCTGAATCCCTTGATTGATCAGGGAGCAAACGGATGGGATCCTGGGCCACCGTTCTTTGAGTATTCAGGTAAGGTTAACGGCTTTGTGCAAGATCCTATTATATTTCTACTGGTCCAACCAAGTAATCGAAACATCCACAGGCTACCGCATTGTCAAGAGCCGCTCAACTGGTTGGAATCCGAAAAGACGCCAGAAGACAACTTGTCACTGCACAGCTCAGCCCTTCACATCCAGGAGTTGGCTCCGCGAATTCTCGCCACCTAGGCTAGAAGAAATGAAGGGGTCGTGCAACAACCCAGAATGGGTAGGGGCAGGTCGAATGCTGGCTGTTGCAACCAATTGAAATCTATGTGGATAGGGTAGCTTCCATTGTTCTTTCCACCGCTGGTAGTAATGATTGATTGAGAAGGACAAGGGAGCTGCTGTACAACTGATGCACTTACTCTCACCTTTTTCTGCACATGTTTTGTGGAAACAGGAACCCTCTACGCACCTACGAATGTCCAATACGCACACTACTCCTTACAAATGCAGGAGTCTTGATACTTGATCAACATCATTCTCTGGCCATTAAGCGGAGCACTCTCGCCTTACCAGTCTCCGCAACGCAGTGCGAATATGCGTGGAGAAATACTGTCCTCAGTAAGGAAAGCCCCAACCTGAAAGACTGAGTGTCTAGCTTTTTGCGTTGACCGAGAGCCCGATCCTGCATCAGAATGCTGCCCCAATGCATGGCCATCCATCTCTTCAGGTAGGCTCCCGAAAGGGGCCCCGATGAAACCGAAACATCCGGGCCACGAGGATACCCAGAGCTTGCCAGCCTTACAGGTCGAAGATCTCTGATGAGGGGCCTGTGGACAAGCCAGACTGCAAATGAACCCCCAAAACGCTGGACATTTTAAATTTGAAAAGCTCCGGGTGCCAGCCTGGTGCCCTTTTCTGTGAATGAAGTCTCACAGGCTGCGATGCCTTAGAGGCCTGCACCCAAAAGCCCATGCAGTCCAGATCGCCAGCTTCTTGGCCAAGGCAGGAAGGTTCTGCTGAAGGCTCACACGCCTGGCAAAAGAACCCCCGTGCAGACGGGCCAGGGTTTTCGACTGGGCCTCCCTCAAGTGCGAATGTCAATGCGCAGAGTTGAAGATTCCTCGCACGTTCACATACTGTATCAGGCTTCAACTAGGCTTCACACTGACGCTTCACGCAGCATTCCCCCAACATGCACCCAAGAATCTGCATTCAGGTAGTCCAAGCAACCCTGGCTCTTGCTAGCCATGCTTCTTGCACGTCCGAAATCTCTAGACCATCGTTTCAACCTCAAACCGCATTTAACGGCTGCCAGGGTCACCAAAGAGCCGAGCACGTAGCTGGCTGCAGCAGGGCGCGACGAGACTTCCTTCCCCAGAGCGTGCTGGAGGTGATCTCGTTTATAGCTTAGGAACATTGACGCTTTGGGAGATGGATTTGGGTGCTCAAGATCTCTGGTGACATGTGATTTGTCATCTATATAGTATCGGGCAGTAAAGAACCAGATTATCTGCCATTTTATCCGCTTTGGTCGAAGCGTTAGTTAGGCCGAGGAAAAACTGAGCGGTCATTGCCCCAGCCTGCTTGTCTTGAGATAGGCTACTCAAATCAACCTTCTTTCTTGCCGCTGGTAAACATGGCAACGTGCAATGTGCAGGACATAACCAGCCCCCAAAACTCCGACCCTCAAAGCACACCTCGATGAGTGGATACCACATTCCTCTTCGACCTTGCAAGCCGAGTTGCCCAGAGGTGCCCTAACATTCTCATGTGATTTTACGTTGGAGTGGGCCGAAGGCCACCTTCGTGGTGCCACCAGGCCATGTACAAGCCTCAACTGCGACCTCTTCTTTCAAAGCAATTGCCGTGCGCGGGTTGTTGCAGAACAACTCTTCTGTTGCAAGCCCTTGTCACGCACTCAGCCGCAGTCCTGCTCTGGCTCAGGTCAAGGGCTAGCAGGCAGAAGTCTGGAGACCTGAACAGGGGCTCCCTTTTTGGTGCTTTTGTCACGAGATCCCATCACTTGGGGAGGTCCCCTTTTTTAAGACATGGTGATCCTAGAGGCCTCGAGGGACAGGCGACAAGGCCATAGAAAACCGAACGGAATTTATGCTTGATCACAATAAACCTGCACGTCAGAATATTTTTCTGTATGTCTCCGTAGTTGTCCGCAATAATGACTTCACTCCTGTGCTTTGTTTGAGAAACGTATCCCATGCAGGATGCAGGGATCAATTTTTGTTGGCTCTCTCGGTCAAACTATTAGGAAGTGCCTGACGAATCTGTGTGACCAGAACGCAACGCTTCCCGTGATTCAAGTGACTTAGCTTGCTTGTCCGGCACTTGCAGATTCTCGAAAAACAAGCACCGCACGAGTACCGTTGGACCGCCGCGGGACCATGCCCTCCATAGAAGGCAATAGGTGCTAGTGCTGATCGAAGTAGATGTCACGATCCAGAAGAAAGCTTGCAAACTCCCTCTCATGCATACCATTGAAAGACTCAATCTTAGTCACGGGAGTTGATCCTCTTCCGCGCGTGCAAGCTCCCTGCTAGTCCCCAAAACCAAGCCTCAACCTCAAGGCAAAACGCTAGGAAGCCGTTCACAAAAACTCAAAGCAATTCATGAATTAGAATAGGACTTGAAATAGGTTACTTTTATGATGTGGCCATGTGGCATATGTAGACAAAACCCTGTCTGTAGATCATATATATGCATATATATATATATATACGATATAGGATAAAAAATCGGGATTGTTTACGGTCCGCTCGATGTGCGCCTGCCCGAATGCTGAGGCCCAAGCCAGTCACCCGCAGCCGGCTTGGTGAATGACGATCTCGATGCCTGCTTTGCAGTGCTTTTGTTTCCTACGAGCCCTGGGAACAGGGGCAAGTGGATCAACTTTGCCAAGTCAAGTCTACCTGTATGCGATGTGAAACAGGATCCCACCTCCTTCGGAGGAAGTGGTGGTGGAGAAAGCGTGCCAGGCCTTAGGCCGAGAGCTGCAGAGAGTTTACAAAAGAATTCCGACATCCATGATCAGTATTACAAGCTTTCGCAAGGGCACGAATTAGTGATCGTCCCTCCCGGTATCGACTGCCCACTCAGAATCCGGCGATCCACGCGTTTGCGTGCTGCCTGTGGCGGTCAGCTAAATTCAGGGGGTCTTTTCGATTAGCATTAACCCTGATATTGACGGAGTTCTCAGTTTGAGACCTCTCGGAAGGTGGGTCACTTGTGACTTCTTTCGGGGGTCACTTGTGACTTCTCGAGAGGTGGGTCACTTGTGACTTCTACCGGGGGTCACTTGCGACTTTTCCAACACAACAATTCGCGACACGTCTCAGGAAACAAGCCTCGGATCACTTGTGACTTCTCCGGCTTTGGGCTCAAGATCAGAAAAGCCCCGGGTCTCTTGTGACTACTCCAGGTTTTTAGGGTTAGGCTTTAGGAGTTATAGGTTTTGAGGGTTTGGGTTTAGGATGTTTAGGGTTACAATTTGCGTTGTTTAGGGTTAGCGTTTAGCGTTTTTAGGGTTAGGGTTTAGGATGTTCAGGGTTAGGGTTTAGGATTTTTAGGGTTAGGGTTTAGAGGTTTTAGGGTTAGGGTTTTGGGTTTAAGGGTTTGGATTTAAGGTTTTTTATGTTAGGGATTAGGGTCTTTACGGTCAGGGTTTAAGGTTTTGAGGGCTAGGGTTTAGGTTTACAGGGTTCGGATTGAAGGTTTTTACGGTTAGGTTTTAACATTGTTTGAGGGTTAGGGTATAGGGTTTTAGGGTTAGGGTTTAGGTTTTTTTTAATTAAGGTTTTTGGTTGTTAGGGTTAGGGTCTGAAGTGTTTAGGGTAAGGGTTTAAGGGTTTTAGGGTTAGGGTTTAGGGTTTCAGGGTTAGGGTTTAGCGTTTTTCGGGTTAAGGTTTAGGATTTTTAGGGTTAGGGTTTAGGGTTTTTAGGGTTAGGGTATAGGGTTTTTAGGGTTAACGGTCATGGTTTTGGGTTAAAGGGTTTGGGCTTAAGGTTTTTAATGACAGAAAACAACAACAGTTCTGCATGTCGCGACCACAAATTCTGTGAGATGTCACAAGCGAGCCAAAATGAGAAGTTCACAAAGGCAGAAAACAATGACAGTTCTGCATTTCGTGACCACAAAATGCTAAAAGTCACGAGCGACCCAAAATCACAAGCGACCCCTCTACCCTAGAAACCAGGCGGAGGCCGCAAGTTTTCTACATCATGTGACATACGTGATCTGCAAGCCTTGCATCAGCGCAGAAAACTGCCGCAGGGCCTGTGAACTTGGAACAAGCCCTCAAATATGTCAAAGTGGGCGAAGCCTGTCATCGTTGACCACCGAGTCTAGATATCCCGTTTCCAATGCAGCGCAGCTCTTGCGCACGCCACCTATCCTCTTGCAATGAGCACGATGGCCTCGCGTCCTCTAAACTCCACTCGGCTTTCATCTGTAACATACACAACCCTCCGCAAGACCCACAAAACACTTCACCAATAGTGAGTTGTGATATCTCAAATGGTCACCCCTAGATTTTGTCCTCTTGGAGACTCTGAAAATGCCGCATCACAAGCACTTGGCCTGCGTTCGACATTCTCTAGCAATCCCTACGAAGGGGCATGGGCAGCTGACGCTCCAGATCTGGGCAAACGGGCGCGGGGAATGCCAAAAGCTCCCGATCTGTTTCCGCGTATGTTCGCCTGGGAACACCACCAGCTTGTATGCTTGGTAGAGAAGCACCGAATCATCAACAACCAAACGTTGGCAGTTAGGTGAAGACGATCGGTGTGCGTGTAGAGTGCGACTTGCATCGGACTAGCCGATGCCATGGTTGCATGCGGGCACTTCTCTGTACACTGTACACTTCAGGCACCATGACATGGGGCGCCTGTGGCTCCTTTGATTGGCCCAACCCAAGCCGATGCCAACTATCGATCCACGCTGATCTGCGTCTTCGTCCGGTGTCGCCTCATCTGGCTTTGAGCCTCAATCTCCCTTGCATCAATGAGACTGCCGTGATGGAACAGCATCACTTAAGCGGGCATGCAAGTGCGGAGCCTCAGCCAGGCTTTCTCACGCCGTAGTTTGCTAGTCAGCCGGTGCCTTTCCCTAACGTGTTCTAGCACACATGGTTCCTTGTTGAGCGTGATTGTGCAAGGGGCAAGGACTTGGCTTGATTTATTCGTTTGCTGCAATTTCTAGTCTGCAAGTTTTGAGGCTGCCGATTTTGAACAGCTTTGGCATAATGAGTTTTGTTGGTCGAGATCCATGGCTGGCAAGTTTTGGTAAGTATTTTTTTTGTTTTTGCACGGGAGTGCTTGCTGTGACCGTGCGCTAATCATTTTCTTGTCGATCTGTTGCTTTTCGCTGCCCCCCACTTGCACATGCGAATGTCTTGACACGATTTGCAGCAAGCCTGACGTGGACTCTTGGCCATTTTTTCGAAGCATACCCTGAGTCCGCTTTCCTGTTTTTTTTGGTCATCACAAGTCCGCTCCGTGAATGAGAGCGTTATGCGAGCAGACTTGAGCCTGATGAGAAGCTTCGGCGTTGCCATTCCTTTCAAGTTTTCTTTTTTGGTGAGCTGCAGTAGTGGTAGTGTTTCGGGAGTGGATTCAGCAACACCATGGACGCAGACTGCATCTTTAGAGTGCGAGCTGCATTCAGCGGATTCTTGGAGTTTCTAGAACAGGACTCTGCGCGGCGGAGCCCACTTAGCCACAGATCCGAGTTGTCGATGTCCAGATCTCGCTCCAGGTCGCCAGTTAGGGACAACGTGCAAGTCAGAACCCGCTCCGTGTCGCCACTTAGGGACAACATGGAAGTCATTTCCCAGCAAGTAATCGATCAACATGAGCCACACACTGCCAATGGTCCAACTCAGATCAGCACTGAGACGATGCGCCTTGGTATTGTTAGCCTCATCCGCTTGTACAAGGGTCAGCACCTGTCTGATGAGGAAGCATTGTGTGAAGCCAGGAAGTTTGTGGGCGAGGCTGCAGGTCACACTGCTGATGCCCCCGAGCAGAGTGGAAGCCTGCCATCCCCCAACCCTGGACCCAAGCACGCAATGGCCTTCAACCACAGTCAGACTGAGCAAGCTCGAAAGGCAATCCTTGAGTTGCGTTCAGCCTTAAAGAGCCTCGACACCTCAACTGGAGGGAGAACGATTCAGATTTCAGTCAGGAAAGCCTTCGAGCCCGTGGAAGTTGCAGAGAGAGTTGAGCTCTGGAGGGGCCCCACTGGTCCAAAAATCCCTGTTGAGCCCCTTGTGATCAAAAGGGGCGGTAAATGGAGCTAACCTGTGGGGCCGCAGAGCTTCGCTAGCGCAGGTGGCGATTCACGTAAGTTTGTCCTGCGGCTTCAACTAGCTAACGCCTCCAAGGTCAAGAAACTCAGCTTACAAGTCAAGGTGGCCACAAGGGAGCTAATGATCCTTGGCTCCAAAACAGTTCTCGGTGAAGAGGCACCGTCCATCATTATGCAATTTGGACCCCATTCGGACGTCCAGATCGTGGCGGGGTCGCCGCCGAAGTTCGATGTTTCACAGTTCTTTGGTGTGAATCAGCCCAATTAAGGCAGTCAATTTTTGACACTGAGCCATCAAAGGTGCACTCTTAATTTAGGTTTCTTATGGTTCCCAGGCGAATTGA